TCCCCGATAATAGACTGTTGGTCACTTGTTGTATACACGGGTGATATACGCTCTGTTATAGCATGGGTGTGATGTATGACGCCTATTTCAGCATAGATTACCTTCATACATGCATATCACAAACTTCTACGACATTCCTGGTTAAACCCTAGGCTTATCATGCTAATATAGACGCCGTGTTAAAACCAGGTATATCGGCTTGGCATTTACACACAACCTGGGTTAGGCCTGTATTGTGAGCAGTGTTCAAAGTGACTTCACCATCTGATCCCGCATCTCAATGACCTGCTCGGCAAACATCCCCTTGGCGGATCCTTCATCACCTCTTGTTGTAACTGTATCTAACTCTCTCGTCACACTCGTTATTTATCTGTCAAACACCTATTACGTACGAAATAGCTTGAAATTCCGGGTACGTTGTCAATAATCTGACAAAAAGTACTCCTCTCAATATTTGTTATGCAAATTCAGATAATCTGATGATTGGAGACATATCTTAATTCACATGGCCCCCAAACACCATCTGAAAAAGATTGTTTTCGTTGCATTAGTATTTCTTAATCGTTGACTCCTAGAGTTTTTAGTTAATATTGTCTCTATTCCACGTGTAGCCTAGTCAGGGTGAGTGAGAATGTGTGTGTGAGAGTGTGTGTGTGTGTGTGTGTGTGAGAGAGAGTGTGTGTGTGTGGGTGTGTGTGAGAGAGAGAGTGTGTGTGTGTGAGAGAGTGTGTGTGTATGAGTGTGTGTGTGAATGTGAGTGTGTGTGTGTGGGTGTGTGTGAGAGAGAGAGTGTGTGTGTGAGTGTGTGAGAGAGAGTGTGTGAGTGTGAGAGAGAGTGTGTGTGTGAGTGTGAGTGTGTGTGTGAGAGAGAGAGAGAGTGTGTGTGTGTGTGAGTGTGTGAGTGTGTGAGTGTGAGTGTGTGTGTTTGAGTAATAGTTGACATCAACGAAGCCCTCCGAATACAACACATGCAGCACCTGCAGCTAAGACTTGGACACTCAAGATGACCTCCCATGTAAATACTACAGTGGCCGACGTGGTCACTCAATATCTCAAAACCTTTGATATTCTTGGGGAGTGGGTTTTTTATTTGAAAAAAACCAACTTGTTCCAAGGAAAAATGGAAATACTTTAGGGGCGTGATGAAGGAGTAAGTATATACTCCGAAACGTTGTTCCTCATAATAAAAAAGTTGACATTCATAAATTCTTTCAAAGGCTGGAAATAAATTATTCTCATGTTTTACCCGCTTAACAATGATTCGGTGTAAATGCTCGATGTCCTGGAAACAAATCGAATTGTCCGATTCCGCGAGCAGCGAACTAGTGGGACCTCTATTTCCCCGGGTGGCCATGGGAAGTAGCCTCACGGCTGCAGAGGCCAAGTCTCTAAACATTGCCTCTGATGTTCTGGACGAACCAAGGACGTCTAAGTGTTTATTGAGAAAACAGCAGACGTCAAGGATTGCGACCATATTGTGTTCCATTGGAGTAAACACCCCAAGCACATGGAAGAACCTGTTATTATCCACCTGCCCTAATTGTGTTTTACCTGCCCTAATTGTGTTGTACCTGCCCTAATTGTGTTTTTCCTTCCTTATTTGTGTTGTACCCGCCTGAATTGTGTTGTACCTACCCTAATTGTGTTGTTCATTGTGCTTTTTCAGACACAATAAAACCAGTAAAGCCACCATGATTGAAACTCAATGGAGAAACTCTATCGTCATTACCGTTTGATAATAATCCTACATATTCTCAAGAGTGGTCAAACGCGTTCTCAAAAATGCTCCAACATGTCCCAAGGGCGACAATCATTCAATATAGATCAGTATCCCATTAGAGATGATTCATAGCGCCCTAGGCTGACCTTCTTGCCCGTGCAGCACGAGAAAGGACAATTAGTGACCACTGATCACATGATCCGTGACACACGAAGGATGACAACCTGTGCCCACTGACCACATCATCTGTGACACACAAGGGAGGGCAATCTGTGACCACTGACAACGTGATCCGTGCAAGAACGAGGTGGCATAATCTTTGAAAATCTGTGACCACTGACTACATCATCTGTGACACACAGGAGAGGGCAATCTGTGACCACCGACCACGTGGTCCGTGCAAGAACGAGGTGGCACAATCTTTGAAAATCTGTGACCACCGATTTCGTCCTCCCACCAGGGCAACATCCCTCCAGTAATTGTTGTCGTACTTATACAGACTTTTACATCAATTACATGCATAAATGCTTTCAAATAGTGTCACCTGGGGGTATATACAGGTGTTAGCGTTACCACTCCCTTGATTACAGGTGTTAACAGGTGTTATATATACTCTAAGTTGAGGGAGGACATGTGCATAGCATATTTCAAAATTCCAAATTTGTTCTCCAAATTAAGTAAGCAACCCTAAAAGCCCACATAGGCTGCCCCATCTTTTCGGACATACCCTTTTCGACCAAACACTAAATGTCCTGGCGGGCCCGTGCTCGAAATGCGCATATATCGGACAGCGTACGTTAAACTCCCAATTTAAGTAAGTATGGACACACGAAACGGAAATCATATACTATGAAGTTAGAAAAAACTACGTGGATTACATGGGGTTTCTTTAAGTTTTTCCCTAAAGGAAATCGGTCGTTTGAAATAAAACGTCGACTGACATTTCCTTGATGAGTGCTTGCATTACTTTTGCAGTTCTTACTCGGAAGTGGTACTTACAGTATTCAGTGATTATATTTAGAGTGACGTTCCTACACGCCCAGATAGCATGTGTTCACTCTCGTCATGTCCTGATGGAGTGGGTGAGTGAGTGAGTATGGTTTTACGCCGCTTTTAGCAATATTCCATCAATATCACGGCGGGGGACACTAGAAATGGGCTTCACTCATTGTACCCAAGTCGGGAATCGAACCCGGGTCTTCGGCGTGACGAGCGAACGCTTTAACCACTAGGCTACCCGACCGCCCCTGTTCTGTTGGCACGACGTCAGTGAATATGCATTTGTGGGACTGACCATTTGATATTCTGCGGGTATGGGATGGGATAGGATGGTATTGGGATTCTAAATTGAGACAAGGGACGTTTTCAGCTATAGATAGAAAACCAGATATATTTTGATATACCTGTTGACTGACATACTCGATGAGTGATATACTTTTTGACTGGCATACTCGTTGAGTGATATACCTGTTGACTGATATACCTGTTGAGTGATATACCTGTTGACTGATATACTCGTTGAGTGATATACCTGTTGACTGATATACTCGGTGAGTGATATACCTGTTGACTGATATACTCGGTGAGTGATATACCTGTTGAAAGCGGCCTTAAATACCTGATACACTAACTCCTGTTTGCTGTTATTCCAACTATCGACGCTGTCGATGTGGTTCATCATTACAACGTTATCACCCGTAATCCATTATTCATCAGCTTCACTCTATTGTTTAACAGACCCGTGAAGATCCGGGGTACAATAGGTCTTCAGCAACCGATGCTTGCCGTAAAAGGCGACTATGCTTGTCGTAAGAGGCGATTAAGGGGATCGGTTGTCAGGCTCGCTGACTTGGTTGATACATGTCATCGTATCCCAATTGCTGGATTGATGCTCATGATGTCAATCACTGGATTGAGCGACGTTATAAACAAACATTGTTTAACAAACAATATGAGAGTTCCAACCTTCTTCATCTGGTACAGACAGAACCGTCACAACTGTGCGCTTAGTGCTTGAAGATGTCATTCCTTATTTCGTCTGTTGTTTCAGTATCGTTCCCCGTGTGCCCCATGCACATCAACATTCTGCTCAATAATAGAACGGCGGGCTTAAGTTTCAAAGCCAACTTTCTCACCCAACCCCACAGCAAACAGTTTATTTGCGTTTTACAGAAAAAGATTATTGACATAGTGTTCTCATATTCCCAGTTCTCATGAAAACAATGTATACTTTGACATAAGCCCTGACCGTCCAACATGGCGAAATGACGAGGGCAGATCAAGTTCCTCGGATCCGCAAACATCGCCATTAAAACCAACGAACTTAGATTTACTCAACCAACAGTGCTCGAAAATATAAACACTCCAGCATATGACAGCGGTCCCTTAAACCCATTTCCTTTAATCCCCCCAACTGTCAAGTTATCTACAGATGATAACAGTGGCGATATGAACCTCTTAACCTCGGCCCGTCTCTCAGCAAACACCCCCATCAGATCAGTGTGCAAACGCGGGGGTCAGCACACTTCACTCTCTCAAAACGTTTATTGGACCCGAAGTCCATTTTCTGTAAAAAGTCAAAATGTTTATGATTCGGTGATTTGTCACGTTTCTTTAATGCTCTGATATCGTAGGAAGTGGACCCTGAAATTGGTTATGGGTCATTTCACATTAATAGCCCAATGTACCTTCAGACTGTAGGCATAAACAGTGTGTATAACCTTTAATAGACCCTGTGTATTGTATTCTGTAATGTCACAAGACAGGTCAACGTAATGGCTATACTATATTTGAGGGTCCTGAGAAGGGCGTGCGCGCGCGCGTGTGTGTGCATGTAGGTGTGTGTGTGTGTGTGTATAGGCGTGCGTGTGTGTAGGGATGTGTGTGTGTGTGTGTGTAGGTGCGTGTGTATGGATGTGTGTGTGTGTGTAGGTGTGAGTGTGAGAAAGAGAGAGTGTGTTTAGGGATATGTGTGTGTTGGAGTGTGTTGGTATATGTGTGTGTGTGAGAGAGCGTGTGTGTAGGGATATGTGTGTGTGTGGTTGGGGTGGAGGTAAATAAGCCTTTATTGACACTACAGTAGGTACTTATGAAAACAATACTTCCATGCATGGGGTATATAACTTGACTATGGACTCTCTATTTATGATAATCTGGGTATATGTTAATCTCAGCTGCTTGTTTCTTACCCTTCAAGTCAGCATTCTCACTTGTACTGAACAATCGTTGAGTTTATCTAAACGTTTTACCTGAGCATATCAAAGACCTGTGATTATCTCACCTTCTCTGCCGGAGTCCTTGCTGTTATCTGTCTCCCCGGCGTCGTCTGAGAGGGGGTCAGCTGCGACCTCTGGAGGGAGAGGGAAAGCTTCTGCAGCCATTTGCACTTTGGTCCCGGACGATTGTCGTCTGCGCCGGATTGTCGTCTGCCCGGGACCCCCCTGCGAGTCCTCCTCGACTGCCTCCTTTCGGGTTGAGCGCTTGGGTACATAGCGGTATCGTAACATTTACAAGTTCCCACGCTTGTCATTCAGACACCTCATCAACAACAAACTTCTCCAGTTTCGATCACTATCAGGTATTCCTCTGTACTGCTGGGAATTATCTGAACAGGTTTGTTTGATTCTGATAACCAGAAGAACGCTGTTTCCACATTTAACTGAATATGCACAACACTGGATCTACACACACCTCCACGTGTTCCCTTCAACACGGAACACTTATCACTGTTAGTATCCCTGTAGATAAAAACAAGTCAAAGTGCGCAAGTCGTTGAACTTCCGACAACAAAGGTATTACAGTATACTACACGCTGTTCAACTCCATAGTTGGAAAATAAGATGAACCAAAAGTCACATAGACTTCACATCCAACAGAACACCACTAACACACGAGTTCTGAATATCCTTGTTCCAAAGACGATGCTCTCATCTGGGCGGTTCCAGATCTAGTTCCCACGGAGACCCACCTCATAGGTGGCGATGTTACCACAGATTCCCGCTGTGTATGTCATCACCGCGTCTTCAGAGGACGACACATCCCACCCTGTCGATCATAGTCGCCTGCAGCTACTACCACTACTACATCATCAGCTGGCGGGTGGATAGGTGCATGGATGATGTCAACGCTTCACTTACTTCCACTCAGCATCTGACATCACTGGGAGATCCCTTCAGACTGGATGCGCTGCTTTGATGACAGGGTTTAATCCAGTGCTGACACTGTGACACAGACGTGGAGCTCGCTCCCTCACAATGTTCTCCCGGTGTACGACAAACCGCCACAGCACGGCTATTGTCCGGGATTGCTAACTCGGGTGTGACAGGTTCCAGAAGGATAGCTTCAGCACACGATATGTTTCACTTCTGAATCTGCTCCGTGAAATAATTCAGATAAAGCCTTCATATAATATATTCCGGGCTGCTAGTAATGCATGGCCGGACAAATTGGAAGGAGATATATCATCCATATGTTTATTTAGAAAGCTAATCCAGGATATGATAAAGTACTTTATGAAACATACCTGTCCCCATAGTGTCTTCCTTTGAAGATGCCTATCCGGGCAGGCTATATAGATGTAACTTTCAGTAGATGATATGTTTATTCTTAATCCACTTGAGAAATAGTAAGCAGTACGTTGTATAGAAGCATATATGTATCCAATATGTCTTCTGGTGTTATCCTGTCAAGCCGATAGTGATTATTTTCAACAGGTGATGTGTTTGTTTTTAATCCACTGAATGAAAAAGTTGAACGCTGATGCAATGCACGATGGTTGCGCCAGTGTATTGCCTCTTCATCTGATGGAGATGAGGGGACAGAGAGTGGTTCTGAAAGAAGAAAATATTCAAGGTATTCCCCTCTTCTGGTGCGAGAACCGAAAACATCAAGAGGATGATCACTAGCAGACGATATATGTTTATCCCGCGATCTGTTCAATGAAATGATATACCCACGCTGATCTGTTTGTCCACATGTCGTTTGAAACAGTGATCTCAAAGTCGTCCGCAAACCTGGACATGCGTTGATCCGTCACAAATCCAGTCCAAGATAATACCCAATTTGTAATGTGGATTACCGGAGTTCAATAGCTATTGTTATGTTGAAGAATCAGAACAGACGATACAATGTCTTCCTTGTGAGTGATGGTGTTTTCTCAGTACAAACTGTTGACAAATAGGCCTCTTGAAGTTTGTTGATACAGTTTCGAGTGTGTCTGATCCTGATAATTAAGACAGTTAACACCTATCCGCCAGCGAGGGTCACGTTTCTCTCGAAGTAAGTTTGTTGAATTCTGTATGCAGTTGGCGATGCGGGGAGAGACTCGGCCACACTCGTTCATAGTGCGGACAGATCCTACATACATACACTTGTTCCTCGAGTTGAATATCGCCCAGTGAAGCCTTAATGACAAGTGTCTTAGTGCGCAACGATTTAGTGACGCAGAGTAAATTATAACTTACACCTCTTTCACTAGTTGTCGAAAACACGCTGTCAAAACGATAAACTCAACGACAGGTGGTAGTGCTGCCGTGCACCATGCAGTGGCAGTTGCCACGGGCTGTGCACGCTGTGTGCACAGATGTATTAATCACACTACACGTACTGGTCTTCCATCGATTGGGTATGGGATCAAATGAATCTAGTATCACCTTGGTATCCAACGTATTGCTGCTGCATCAAATACCAATAAAAGTCACGCCACGAGAGGTCCTTTGACAATAAGACGCTTGCATTTTGTTCACTCGTGCATTTCTTAGCATTTGAAACACAATAAATCAGAATTGTACAGACCAGTGAGCGATGGGACGACAGGGATTGTGCTTTCGAGCCCACTAACGTATCCCGATAGCTGTCGGTGAACTAGGGGACTCACAGCTATCCAGGCTGTTTGACCGGGGACACCCGTAACATCCCCTCCTAATAGTTCAAGGATATTCGCAACTTGAGGAGTGTAAATAAATAGTTCTACTGCATCTCTACCCTTTCAACAAAAGCAGGTAAATAAACCTGCAGATTGATATAAATCCAATTTTGCGAAATAATCACGTGAACAAATCCGAGCGGTTTTGAATTTACACACACTGAAGAAAGGCCACGATCGGAAAGGAGTATTTCACTCTAGCGTACAACAGTTTTCAAAAGATGACGATCATCTTTTGAAGCAAGCTGTCAAATTGTCCAGACGTGCTGTCTCGTATCATCATAGTACATGATCGTTATCTTCTTATTCTGCATGTGTCGTCTGCTGCCTGTCACATGTCGTCTGCTACAATTCGTCTGCTGCTTATCGCATATCGTCTGCCAAAGTCCCACAGAAGGTAAATGTGACCTAGCAGTTGGTTCGGTCCGAGCGAGGGTCACCGAGGGCTTGAAGACGATAAACGAAGCGGTGTTGGCTGATCGATTGCAGAGGAATTCCAGTGCGAGCTCAAATGGAAGTCTGAGAAAGGGCTATAGTTCTTAAGATCAAACTTGCCAAGCAGAAAATCCTCTCCACACACCGAATGTCCTGTATGAATGAGTGTGACAGGCTTTAACCTGTTGTTGTTCACCTGTTGCCGTAATGAGCCCAATGAGACTGATCTCTCGCCTGCGTGACAGCCAGGCCAGGTTCGCCAACTTAGGGCGAGAATTACCCCTGCTCAAACAGACGACAAATTATTGAACTTAACAAGGAGCGCGAAAAGTGGCTCGATGGATAACGCGTTTCTCAAGCAGCGCATTTACATTTAATCTGTCTTAGATCGTTCTGTGGTATTTATGAGTAGGTGGCACTCGGCACGAAATGCCAAAGGTGCAATATCAGCATATTTCTTTATGGAATATATAATTTGCATTAATTTTGGTATTTTATGAATGACAAGTACGCAATAACGCGGAGTACCATTCATGACGTCCCTTGGTCCCTACAAGGATGTAAAAATAAGATCACACACTGCAATGCACCTTTCCATAGAGACTTGTTCTTGGTCGTATTTGCGTAGCGTCATCGTAATTTGATAAAATTAAAACACCATTACTATGTCGACAACGTCTATAGTCTATTCAGGTTTTGAAATGATGTCACCCACAGTGAATATAATCAACCAATTCTAAGAACACGTGCTTCTAAACCAATAATAAGTATATGTGCTTATACACCAATACTAAAAATGCGTGTTTCTCAATCAGAAACATGAATACGTGCTTATAGTCAAGTACGATGGATATACGTGCTTTTCAAACAGAACTCAGAATACATGCTTATCAACCAATTCTATGAGCACGTACTTCTAAAGCAACATACTTGATTCTAAACCAATAACTAAAATACATGCTTATCATCCTATAAGCAAATGTTTGTGCTTCGACACACCGCTACTAGTGAGTGAGTATGGTTTTACGCCGCTTTTAGCAATATTCCAGCGATATCACGGCGGGGGTCACCAGAAATGGGCTTCACACATTGTACCCATGTCGGGAATCGAACCCGGGTCTTCGGCGTGACGAGCGAACGCTTTAACCACTAGGCCACCCGACCGCCCCTCACACCGCTACTAAGAATACGTGCTTATAAACCACAACTAAGAATACGCGCTTAAACAATGACTATGAATACGTGCTTCTCAAGCAAAATGAAGAATAAACTTAAATTTAAACCAATACGTCCCGTGAACATAACATAACGTCCGGGTTAGAATAGGTATTCAGCAACCCATGCTTCTCAATAGAGGCGACTAACGGGATCGGGTTGTCAGCCTCACTGACTTAGTTCACGCATGTTATTGTATCCCAATTGCGTAGATCGATGCTCACGATGTCAATCACTGGATTGTCTGGTCCAGATTCGATTATTTACAGACCGCCGTCATAGAGCTTGAATATTGCTGTGTGCGGCGTTAAACAAAACCAAAACAAACAACAACAAATAAAACAAACTAAACCAATTCCCACAATACATGCTTACCAACCCATACGAAATATGCATGCTTCTACAAACCACAACTAAGAATACGTCCTTATCATCCAGTATTAAGGATAGGTGCTTCTTTATCAATACTAAAAGTGTACGCGTTCCAGGTAAGTGTTCCACAACAAGGAGGTGAACGGCCTCGGTGGATCTAGGTCTCTATTGTGTATATACTTTATAGGGTGAATATTTCCGTTCAGAGTTTGTTGTCATTTATCAGCGGACTGACCCCACATGTTAATAAGTCTTATTACAAAGTGTAAGTCATGTTCAAGTAGCCATACAAATTGATTGATCCAGTGTTCCACGTCCTCCACTGCGACAGGACCGACACGGACGCTGTGTTGCCAGGCGACACGGGGTGGCGTGGCATGAGGAGGAGCATTTAGTCAATACATTGGTCGCTGGATATATTTGTACATTGAAATTCCCGGGATTCTAGTGCCTCTTGTTGAAATGGTCATCGTTAGATGCAATAGTAGCCGTCGACTCACGGGAGGAGTGGCTAAAGTGATTGTAACGCCGCTTTCAGCAGTTATATGACCTATCAGGTTTCATACGGGATGAATGCCCAAGGCTGTGGATATTTCTCAAGAGAAAATGTTTCATTATCGCAGAGAATAAAGGATTCATCAGCTCCTTGCTCGGTCAAGGGACGCAACTCTACAGACTGAGAAATCGATGAATTGTGTGAACATTGAGAAGTGTCTCCGTCACAGACTGAGAGATCCATCCATGTTTTGTGTCACCATGGAGATGTGTGTCCCCGTCACAGACTGAGAGATCCATGTATTGTGTAACCATGGAGATGTGTGTCCCCGTCACAGACTGAGATATCCATGTATTGTGTAACCATGGAGATGTGTGTCCCCGTCACAGACTGAGGTATCCATGTATTGTGTAACCATGGAGATGTGTGTCCCCGTCACAGACTGAGGTATCCATGTATTGTGTAACCATGGAGATGCTTGTCTCCGTCACAGACTGAGATATCCATGTATTGTGTAACCATGGAGATGTGTGTCCCCGTCACAGACTGAGATATCCATGTATTGTGTAACCATGGAGACGTGTGTCTCCGTCACAGACTGAGATACCCATGTATTGTGTAACCAGGGAGATGTGTGTCTCCGTCACAGACTGAGATATCCATGTATTGTGTAACCACGGAGACGTGTATCTCCGTCACATACTGAGATATCCATGTATTGTGTAACCATGGAGATGTGTGTCCCCGTCACAGACTGAGATATCCATGTATTGTGTAACCATGGAGATGTGTGTCCCCGTCACAGACTGAGATATCCATGTTTTGAGGGCTACAATAGAGGTGATCATTGCAAGACACGCCATTACACTGTAGTTTAACGTGGTAGTTTGCACTGTTCCTGTTGTAACACGGGGACTGCAAATAATCAAGGCTTAACAGGCAAATAGGTGGATAAAATCATGAGCACCGCTCCAAGCCAACGTGACAAATTATCGCGTATGACCGACAAGTGCTCTTTTGTCGCCCCCAACAAGCACGGAACGATTGTGAAAAGTAATATTTGAGATAATCTTTTCACCTGAGAGAGATTAGGGGTGAGTGATGGCAGTTGTGGCATCGTCATACGACCATACAGTTTCCTTTGGGTTTAATTCTGTCGAGGGCGTATGACATCGCATTCGTTGATGCTATCTAACGCTTGTCAGATGGAGCGTCCACACATTGGAAGTTTCAAGTGTTAGATGTGTGTACATTGTAACTTAAACACTGACACTCTCGTCCTGTCAGAAGGAACGTGCATGTGCCTGTTACAGGCATAGTCATGTTTGAACTAACGCCGCACTCAGCAATATTCCAGCTATACGACGGCGGTCAGTAAATAATCGAGTCTGGACCAGACAATCCAGTGCTTGACATCATGAGCATCGATCCACGCAATTGGAATACATGACATGCATCAACCAAGTCAGACAGCCTGACCACGATCCCGTTAGTCGCCTAGCTATTACGACAAGCATAGTTGCCTTTTACGGCAAGAATGGGTTGCTAGAAGACCTATTCCCTGATCTTCAGGGGTCGCACAGTCATGTAAAGCGATATCCCGCGAGTCTTCAGGCAATGGGAAGGCGAATGTTATAACCGGTGCATTGTCATCAGTCCGCGTGGTCAGTGTACGACTCTTTGCTACGCCGCATTCAGCTACATCTCAGCGACCATGTAAAAACTCAGGGTCAGACAAACCAGTGTTTGATATCACGAGCACCATCTCACGTCGTTGGTGTACGATCACACGCAATCAACACGTCACTATCTTGACCATCCAATGGAGTCGCCTCTTCCAAGTGTAGCAGGGCGTGGAGTCATCCCACAGATGACATCCTTATCTTGTCAGCTTGCTGACGGGGTTAACCCCCTTGGTCATGTGGACAAGGCGTCCGACCTCGGATCAGAAGGCCCGTGGTTCGAATCTCATCACGGGACTCGGAAATTTTATGGTCACTACACAAGCAAGAGTTCTTGGGGATTCTATGCTAGGCCCCGTGCCTCATCTGAGGAAGAGATCTTGTCGCTACGATGATCGATGATCGTAAGCCTATGTTAATGTATGGGACTTACGATCACCTTTAGAAGCGCTAAGATCGCTTTGAGGAACGGGCCCTCATCCGATCTCAACGTGGCGGGTTCGAACCCATATGTGTCGTATGTCGATGCTGGTCAGAATTCACTATATGATGGCGGTTAGGTCACGGTACACCAACGTTGTCTTTTTCAGTTTTACCTGTCATATTACCAACCCAGCCTAAACTCTTAAGGGGAA